TGAATCCTATACGGTATTTGCAGTTTTTAACCCCTTCCCCAGGCTGGCCGTGCCCCTTAACTTCCACTCCTCCCCCAACTCTGTTCATTCCCTCTCCCTCTGGCTCTCTCCCCCTTCATGCCCCTCCCCCTTTGTCTGTCTTCAGACTCTGCTGCTGGGAGGTGTTTCTCTCCCATGCATGAATGAGTCTCTGTAATGAATGGAAATGAATGGATCAGGAATCCAGGCGGAGGGAGGGAGAATGAGGGGGGAAAGACAGAAAGACAGGGTAAGGGCAGAAGGAAGCACTGTCGAACCTGGAAGGATGTTTGGCTGGCTGGTCAGTTAGGGGTCTGAGAGCAACTGGTCCCGTTGGGATAACTGGGGAGCATGGCAAGCCCACCCCATTTACTCATCACGCTGCGCAGCCCAGCCTACAGGGGAGAGGGATATACTGTGATGATCTCCCCCCATGGCCAGGGGTGGGGTGGTGGTGGTGGTTGTTCTGGGCCAGACATTTAAAACGCATAAGAAATCTCGTCTGTCAGGGAGACCCGTGGGCTTGGCAGATCAAGGGGGTACGGTTTTTGAGTACAGCAGTCCCCGTGTGCCTCGCGATACAAGTGTGGAGTAAAGATAGGTTTTAGGAATACAGGGTACTTAAAAGTCTGGGGGTAGCGGGTGACTCTCCACTGCTGAGAATCAGGGCTCATCTTTTTCTCCAACTCTGTCTCTCTTGCTTTAGCTCCTCCTCAGCACCTGTTGCCTTCATTAGCAGCTTTTCCTCCTCTTCCCTGCACTCCCCAGAACCAAAGAATGTGAAGGGGGTCCATGGAGGTGAGTGAAGCTCTGGCCTCAACCCACAAGTACCTACAACTGTACACTCCCTCCTCTGCCTACCCCCCTCCTGTCTTCTCTCTGTCTCCCCCCCTCCCCCGTCTTTCTTTGGCCTCCCATTATTGGAAGTTATCTCCGTGGCCCCCGGCATCTCAATTCCCATCCATCCCCCAACTTTCCGAGGTGAGCGGCTCCCAGCGTTCCTGGTTCAGGCCCCGGCCCATCTTGTCCCACCTTGTCTCGTGTTCTTCTGGCCCCGGATGCGATGCCCTTGCTTCCTCCCCATCTCCCCCTGCTCCACCCTTTGCTCTAGTCCGATCTTTCTCCGCAGGGCTCACGTCCCCGCGCCCCGGGCGGCCACCTAGCGCCGTCGCCGCCGGCTTTTGACGGCGAGCTGGATCTGCAGCGCTACTCCAACGGGCCAGCCGTGAGCACGGGCTCGCCCGGGATGGGAGCGGTGAGCTGGTCTGAGAGTCGCGCAGGTGAACGGCGCTTCCCCTGCCCTGTGTGCGGGAAGCGCTTCCGCTTCAACTCCATCCTGGCTTTGCATCTGCGGGCGCACCCGGGCGCCCAGGCCTTCCAGTGCCCGCACTGCGGCCACCGCGCGGCGCAGCGGGCTCTGCTGCGTTCGCACCTGCGCACACACCAGCCCGAGCGCCCGCGGAGTCCCGCCGCACGCCTGTTGCTGGAGTTGGAGGAGCGCGCGCTGCTGCGCGAGGCCCGACTGGGGAGAGCCCGAGGCTCGGGGGGCATGCAGGCCACCCCTGCCACCGAGGGCTTGGTGCGGCCCCAGGCGCCTTCGTCGTCCGCCTTCCGTTGCCCCTACTGCAAAGGCAAGTTTCGCACCTCGGCCGAGCGCGAACGCCACCTGCACATCCTGCACAGGCCCTGGAAGTGCGGCCTGTGCAGTTTCGGCTCCAGCCAGGAGGAGGAGCTGCTGCACCACAGCCTGACGGCCCACGGGGCTCCCGAGCGCCCCCTGGCGGCCGCCTCCGCGGCGCCCCAGCCTCCGCCTCCGCCCCAGCCGGAACCCAGATCGGTCCCCGAGCCGGAGCCGGAGCCCGAACGTGAGGCCACCCCGGCCCCCGCTCCCGCCGCTCCCGAGGAGCCCCCAGCGCCTCCGGAGTTCCGTTGCCAAGTGTGCGGCCAGAGCTTCACCCAGTCCTGGTTTCTCAAGGGCCACATGCGCAAGCACAAGGCCTCCTTCGACCACGCGTGTCCCG